TGAGAAAGAAATGTTTTGTAAATAAAGTTAAAAAAACAAAAAGATAATAATAATAATATAAAAAAAAAAAAAAGAATTGTGTATGTCATATTGTTACGAAAACTGAACACTGAAACGATGACCCGGAAAGAAAATTTTAAAAAAGGGGGCGGGAGTGTGTGACAATACTTAACACACTATCTGGAATTCTAAAAATATACAGCTTTTAAAGATTTGGTGATTTTACTCTTCAATTTTTACATGACGTAAGTGCGAAGAAAGCAATATTTAATAATAAAGTTAAAAAGACTGAAGAATGCTGTGTTGAAAGCGAGCCCAAGAGCAGATTTGTAAACTATGAGCTCAACAACAACATAAAATAAAACCTTGACAAACCCTCTGGGGCAACATTATGGATCTGAATCCTATCAGATATTTTCCCTTCTTCTTTGTCTTTTAATATTTATGTAATATTCCCCATGCTTCTTTAAAAAAGCAAATTTTTTCTTCTTTTTTCACAATAAATTTTGTTTTTACGCATTTTACTTTGCCTTTAACTATTTCTTTATTTTTAATTTTTACCCATGTTACTTTCTAATACATTTCTATTAATGTTCCATTTTTTTTCTAAAATTTCTTGCCAATAATTTTATCTGCCTGAAGGAAGGGATGCTTTTGTGGAGGACTTCTATGGACAACTAACTCATATCCTCATTACACATAAGGGAAACCACAAAAGCACCAAACAACAGCCCACTTGCCGATGTATGAATTCGGGTAGAATCATCAGCGTTCAGCAGCCTTACCATTCAGTTGTTGCGAGCCTGTATAATATGAATATATTGTGTTTAATTTATTTTCATTTTTAAAATTAACAAGGTATTTGAGGTTCCCACCTCTCATTACCAAAGTGCATATGTCATAGCCTATATCTTATCATGGGAGATATAATGACAATATATACTGACGAGCCAAAACATTATGACCATTTTTAGTGACTTAATTCCATTTACAATCTGGCATATTATCATCAACATTAAACAAACTTTTTGACAGTCATAAAATTCTTAAACACTGCAAAACGCTTTTGCTATTAAACAGTTTGGAAACTTTCGGATAACTCGCAGACCTCAGTTGTGATGCATTTTTTAGTCAACCTCAAAACTATTGCGTAAACATTTAATTAGTTTACTTGCATGCATGCAAAGCTATCTATCTAAGGGAAGAGATGCCTTTATGGAAGATTTTCCAAGGGAAATGGCTGGTATCCATGTTACATGTGGGGAAAACCACAAAAAGGCCTATGCTGGTATCCATGTTACATGTGGGGAAACCACAAAAAGCCCATTAGCCTGGAATCCAACCCACATTGAATTACTAGAGTTTAATGATTTTACTGCTCAGCAGCTGGTGACCAGTTGCAAAAGTTTAAAAGAATAAACTAACTGAATATTTGAAATTGATGAAATCCATATAAAACCAATTCTAGATTTGATGACTAAAGCAGACAGTATCAAAATATGACATTAGTTAAATATTAATGCCTAGTAATTTTAAAGATGACTAGCAGCCCCCCCCCAAAAAAAAAAGTTTTAGAAAATAAAAACATATTGAAATGTTAAATTAAGAAGCAAAAACCAAAAAAATATTTGTCTATCTGAAAAGCTTCAATAACAATAATCTCAGCATTATTTTCTCACAGCTTTCTTATTTTGTCTATCAAATTATTAACTATACTTGAACTGATCGTTTCCAGCAATGAAAATTTATATTATTAGGAATAACTTTCTTTCCATTGTTTTTAGAATCTGATAACATTTGAGGAACATAAATTAATTACTTTTGACTTATCTCGAATCTTTCAAATTGCAGTTCTGATTATACCTGTTAACAAAATGATATTTCCAATTTCCATTACCTTCTAATACAATATTTTTCACTGTTATACACTTTAGCAATCTTCGATGATTAACATTCTATTACTGCAGGATTCATTAATGAGCTATAAAGCAAATTCTATGTTATTAAACAACAACATTAAAACAACAAAAAGACATATTTTTTTATGAGATAAGTGGGGGAAGCAGAAAAAATTAGGACTATTATCCACTCAATAAAACATTATTCCCATATTTCCCAAATATCTGCAAACAACTGAGCATATAAGGGCATTGCAAGTGTTCCATGACCTTTTTCTTTTAAACCTCCAAGTCCAGTTGTTTATGGGCATTCTCTAGACTGACAGAGTTTTCAAAATTTTTACTAGTTACTCCTTAGCTTCCCAACAAAATCTAATTGTCTTTTGAAAATAAACCTTTGAATTGAATGTGTAAATGTATAAATACAATCATGTCATTAGTAAATGTTTATAGTCCCCTTGTTTAGGTCACCAGCTTTTATTTAATTTCACAGATTGGCTCTGCCCTCAAAAATTTATTTTTCCGACAGTTTTCAGTTTTTCCCCCTCTTCTAACTTGCTTCAGACAAACTCTCCCTTATGGGTTTTTCTTAATAGGCAGTTTGGCAATTTTTCTTATCCACAGACATAAATATCAGCCCTTTCACAGTTTTCTCATTTTCAACAAAAGAAATTTTATTTGTCTGAAAATTCAAAATATTTCATGCTCTGACCAACATCATGCATACTTTAATTCATTTTTCCTGCACCATTTCCTCCTTTCTGACTCAAAAACGATAGAACCATACTTTCTACTTTAGCAATAAAATTTTTTTAAAAATAAATAAAACATATTTAGAATTCCTAACTTTTTTTTTTAAGTTTACCACTCTTCAATTGTGTAACAACCAAAAAATACATAACATAAATAGAAGTTTGAAATAATTTGAAAAACATAAAAGTTGTTTCAAACTGAGCAAAATTCAACATCAAATTTTTCTTTGTTTTATAGATTTTAAAAGAAAATGGTATGAGTTAAGAGCAGAAATACCTTTCAAGGGAGATACTCTGAGATCTGTCTTTCAAGATATAGGCTGATATTAAAAAATTAATAACAGAATGTGAATTACAATTGTTGACCAGACTTTTTAAATATTTTGAAACTTAACTTTTCCTATATTTTAAAGAGTCCATAAAAAAACGTGAATTAAAAATCTAGCCTGCATGTCTGCAATTTGAAAACCTCCCCTTGAACATAATGGAGTGCTTTAAAGTTTTAAGTATAGCTGACACCTCTAAGAATTTTCAAGGAATATCATATACAAGGTTTAAAATTAAGGTATTGAATAAATTCAGAATTTTAATATTATTCCATTGCTCAAAATTACAAATTGCACAGCGTATTAAATAAAAAATGATTTCTGAACTTTAAGAGCATTTTCCTTTTAGCATATATGAAAAATATTTTGACACTAATGAAGAGATTTTTAGGTTGAGAAATTAAAATAAATTAAGATTTTTTTTTTTTTTGTTACAAAGGATAATTTTGTAATGCTGGGCCTTATCGCAATTTAATCTATATTAAAAAAAATAATTTATATGATTCTCACTGACTTTTTGAAAATGTGAAGAAGATTAATAAAATGTATGCAAAAACTGTTTAGCATAATACAGTAAATGAAAAAATTCAGCTCTAATTAAGAAATTTAGTACATTAGTTTGAAAACAAAATTAAGTGTGGAAACTGGAAACAGGAAGTAAAGACCAGGGAGAAATAATGACCAGGTAGACTAAATTTAATAAATATCTCAAGTTTCTCTCCTTTATTGTCCGTAATTATTTGAGGAAATTTGTATATCACAAAACAAGTCTTTTCTGGTGGTTATGATTATGTGTGGTTGTTGTTTGTACTAGACGGGTGGATATGCTCTATGTACGTTCTAGCGACGTCATAACAATGGGCACTTGATAAACGCCCCACACTGCTACAATCCAAAGGCACAACCGCAAAGGGAAACAGGAGCTCTAGCCTAGGGTTGCCACCTAGCTTTTGATTTTATCAAACATTCTCATAATAATCAGAAAATGCATATATCCTCAATATAAACAGGTAAATAATTGTTTCTCAAAAGGTCAGCAGTTTCATAAACAACAGAATTTGCTCACAGCTGACTACTTATTAAGTATAAATTTTAATAAAATTTCACTTTCAATTGAAACAACAAATTTAAAAAAAATAGCATACTAATGAACTCATTTCTTAAAAATGTAGCTTAAAAAAATGCAGCACAATGGATTATGAAACTGTTAACCATGTAACTTACAATTACTTTCTTATGATATCTGATATGAAATTTGAACAAGTAATTTCTGAAACTCCCATTCAAAGTTCTATAAAAGTACTGTATTGTATTGTAAGTTAGTACATAACAGCATAAATTATTTTCAGAGCAATTCAAAAGTTTTAATTCCCTAAAATGAAGCCTCCAAAACAACTTGGAATTAAGGCATATTAAATTGATTTAATATTTAGGGGTCAATTTTTGTTTCAGTCATACATGTAATTTTCACTTCATATTTTTAATGTTCTCTTTTATTTTTTTCTCTTCTGGAACAGAAGATTACTGACCTTTAACTGAATCTGGTATCTATAATAATAAAAGCAAGTGTAATGTGTCTGTCTGTCTGTCTGACCGAGCTCTCCAGCCAAATCTATCGCACGCAGGGACCTGGAATTTTTTATACGGAAGCACAAAGGGGCTGGCCACCAGACCTCGAAGCCCGATTTCGATTTTTTGAATTAGAAAAATTTTAAAAAAATTATTTATAATTAATTAATCACTGTTTTTTTGACTCACTGATATTATTATGTTTTCAAATAACGTTCGATTGTAACAATTGATTTCTTTATTCTAAGCGTTAGTTTGCTGTTTGACGATACATTAAATCGATTAATTACAATCATTTCTTTTTGTAGCTTGTGGGGGGGGAAGAGAGAGAGACAGTCTACATGTCCTACACTACTATTCCTGCGCTATTCACTTATCTGCATTTTCTAAATGCACGGGCAACGCCGGGCGGGTACACCTAGTTTTTCATAAAAGCGAGAGAAGAGCATTGGTAAAAAATTTTGTAATAGAAATTTAATTACAACAGAATAGATGTATTTGCATTTTTGGTACACAGTAACAGAATAGGTGGTTAAGCTACTGGATTCCATGTCATTGTTCATCGCACCTATAACCCACAGGGTGGCAACCCTAATCTACGGAAGGAGTCGCCGGACGGGCGTAACCGGGAACATGGGTCCCTTTGCTTGGGGCCCTTTTGCCCCGTTCAACTGATCAGCAGAGTTGATTATTTTTCTCCAATGTGGAGGGCAGATCACAACTCTTCGACCAATACATAATTTTTTTTTCTGGTCAGCAGTCTATGATGTCAGATTTGGCTTGCGACCGTTGAGGTGGCCTACGTGGAAAACCTATTGGAAGAAAATTATATCAAAAGCTAGAGAAATTGAATTAAAAATACATTATATGCTCATCGCATATACAAATTTAAAAGTAGCAGCACTGAATTAAAAACACACCAGAAACAAAACAGGAAAATGCAATCACAAAAATTTTATATGGGGCATCACAAAACCAAATACTGAAATTTTACTGAATTCTGAACATAGTTTGTGAATCCATTATTTTGTTCTATATTAAGAGTTGAACCACATTGTACTAAATGTATAATGCGATAAAAATAACTGCAAAATATAGCATATTCTTAAGGAATGCAAAAATTACTCAAGAAATATTTTATGATGAAATTATTCTTATACAAAAATGTACATCTATTTGACGGTTTTCACAAATAGTGACCGTTTTACTCTGGACCCAAAAAAAATTTCTAATTACAAAATCCAATGTTTACTAATACAGAACAACCAAAACATTTTTCATTAGTGGAACTATTAGCAGCAGTATTTGTATGCTATTAATATAAAAAGCGTATTTTAAGGTACAACAAGAATTCAATATTTGATGAGAATACATTTGATACAAATGTGAGATAAAATATTTTACTATTATTCCATAAAAAAAATTTTTTTTTTTTTAAAGTCTCCCATCTTAAAGGCTGGTTTACACTTCTCCGAGTGATTTTCAGGAAGTCCCTCGTCCGAGCATCTCGAACCGAGTGAACGGACCTGTACTCTGATAGATTGTTTAAACCAATCAGAGCAGACTGATAACTCGCCTCCGCTTATTTGCAAAATGGATACCGACATGCAGGTTGCTGTGCTTGAAGTTTGCAAAGCAGTTGCCAATGAATTAATTTCTATTCTAGGGGAAGGAAAGGAAATCAAAGCATGACTGTGATGAATTGGGAGCATTAAATCAACTTTTAAATGAACTTTGGGGTGAAGATATCCAAAGTTACAAAAACTTCATCAGAATGGGTGAAGGATAATTTGAAACTTTATTTGAAATGGTCACTCATTAAAAAAAAAAAAAAGTTCTTTCGAGATGCTCTGCTAGCAAAATTAAAATGCAGATAGCACTTCGGTTTCTGTGGCCGGGTGACTCCTACAGTTCTCTGCAATATTTATTTCGAGTGCCAATATGCACAATCAGGACATTTATTCTAGAAGTGTTCGAGGCTATTTTCTGTGTATAGGGTTGAGCTAAAATTATTATCCTTTTGCTCGAACTCTCCAAAACCCCGAAATTTTATCATGTTAATAACAGCCTCATACACCTTCTGTCAGCAATTTTTATTTTAATACTTCTGAGTGATCATTTGTAAATAAAATCTAACTTGTGGCTCAAATAAAAAGAGAACGTCTATAAAACAAAATTTCAAAATTTTGGATTATATTTTATTAGATGTAATTGGCCATGAGTACAAACTGTTTTTTGAAGTTTATATCAACAATATAAAATAAATGTTTGCCCTTATTTTTTTAATTGAAAACTGTATTTTATTGGGTAGTTGTATTATTTTATTGGGTAGTTGAATAACATATAATTTAATTGTTTTTTGATTAAAGAAAATTCAGAAATAAATATGTTTAAAATAAATATTTTGAATCCGATACCCTAATTTAATGTTCTATGTTTTTTGTACAACATCAAAGACCTAAATTAATTCTGATCAGTAGGTATATCAACGTTATATTTAGGTATTAGTAAACAATGGTTGTAATATTCAGATAGTGAAGTATCCCATAATATTTCACAAGATGCACATGCATTAAAAATTACCATTGTTAGATTATCTCTCCATCTCGGCATTTCCGATATGACGAAAAAACTTGGGCACGCCGTCTCTGCAAACAGTGCTCGGAGTTGCTGCCCGGATAGATTTTCAACTGGTTCAAAGAAACGGACTCACTGACTCATCTCCCCTACGTTTCTATTCAGAGAAAGTAAGCATTTACATTGTGTAAGTAGTCATAATGAGGGGCTCGTTGTGGTTCCCTCAGACAAGTGTAAACTGGCCTTAAGAATCATTTGAAAATAAAAGATCACTGGATATAAATATATGATTTCCTCATTAATTTGAATGTAAACTATGTAACCATGCCGGAAGCATTTTTCACTGAACTAAATATTATTAATTAAATCAAGTTATTTAAACTCAGTAAGATATTCAAACAAAAATATTAAATTGTATAAATATTTTCAGCATTCTTACGTTCATACAAATGTTCTATATACTAAAGACATGGTGAACATGAACAAACATGAATACACTGTTTTTTCTGTATAAAAACAAGTTTAAAATGTTTCAGTGTATAATATAAAAATATTTCATTCATCTTTGTAAATGAAATTTTATAATAATATATGATGAATTATAATAATATGTGATTACAATATGAAATTCTTTTCAATATCATTCATGAAGGTTAATGATTAAGGTTAATTTTATAATAATATGATATGAATTATAATAATATGCGAATACAATATGAAATATAATAATCTTATGAAATTCTTTTTTAATATCATTAATGAAGGTCTAAATCTAAATTAAATTTATGTTTTCTTATTACCTCGACCTAGTCTTGCTATCCTATCTTTGTCACACTCCGTTTCTGACTGATCATTACCAGAGCTTCCACGGAGAGCAGCAGTATCAGCTCGGCTGAAAGTATAAATAGTTCCTTCACTGTCACTCTCGTCGCTGGAAAGCCTAAAAGAGAAATTATTCTAATTGCCTCCTTATTCAGACTTTTCATATATGGCAAGATACACAATTTTTCTCTAAAGCAACATTACTTCCTTTCACAGAGCAGAGAAATGTTTATAAAACTTAATAGTGTATTAAACATATTTTGTGCCACTTTTTTTCTTAACACCAATACCAAAAATTCACTCATCTTATCTTGTTTTTTAAATATTTCCTTAAAAGATACTAACTGACATTAAGCACATAAGTTACAGGACTATAGTTAATACAGTATATTTAACAATTATTTTTTGGCGTATTCCTTTTATATAGTTACTTAAGAGTTATTTGAAAGCTAAGAAAATCCAACCTATAGTTCTTCTTAATTTTAAAATGAAAAGAGGCTGAATATGTTAAAGACAAAATGGTACTCTTTTTTAAAATTTTTCTGGGCAAAAACAATTATTTGTATTTGCAACTATGTATGGAGAAATACAAGCAAGGTTATAAAAAATATTCTTTTTACCTCTTGAATACCTGTACTGCAAAGTATCTTATATCTAATTCAAAGCACTGAGTCATTTTAGTTTGCTGAAAAAGAAGGATGATGCTATTCTTTGAAACACAACTAAAGATTTTATTTATTTTTAATAATTTTTATTCATTTATTTTTTTATTATGAAACTAACATCAAATACAGATTGAAATTTGTCAATTATTTAAGTTCAAGTTGCTATGAATCTTCTACAGAATCACTCTAAGAGTTAGCCAGTTACAAACATAAACTTATCAATATTTGCCTCTATTTTACAAACAACTATGTGCATTTAAAAAAAAAATGAAAAAGGGAAGGTAAAAAGAAAGAGAGAGCAAGATTTTAATTAATATCACACTAGAGGGTTTGTTCAGGTTTTTTTATGCTTTTAACATGCTCACATTTCATTATTTTGCTATTGAACTCACTCCTGTTAATACTAGTGCCTGTTCTCTTAGTCTGTTCAATGTTCTGTTATTCTTCACACTTATGCCATATACAATTCAACAGCAAAATTACAAAAATTTTAAAGGCAGCATGCCTTTAGAATTCTTGATGAAGTGTTGGTATATATATATATATATTAAAGTCTTTTCTCAGTTTATCATGTCAATGTACAATTTTCTTAGTGAGATGGCTGGCAAAACTTTTTTTATGATTTTAATAGTAATGTTTGTGAGTTAAATTTATCATATTCATATTCCTCACATATAATATCATATTCTTGACACAGACATCATATAAAATTCAGCTGAAAAGAAAAATCACAAAATATTTAAAAACAGCATATTTTTAGAATTTCTGATATAAACTTTCATGCTGAAGATAACAATCTTTTAATCCATATAGTGTTGCCACTGCTTGCTTTCAAATTACTGAGTTTGTCTTATGGTTCATTACAATTTTACAAAATATGAAATATAAAATTCAAAATTCAGGCTAAGTACAAATGTTCAAGTGAAGGACTACATCATTCAAAATTTGATGGCCCTAGGTACCATTGTTTTTTCACATGCAGATTCTTCATTATTTAATTTCTTTAAAAGTAATGCAGGGGGATAATACTTCATGGCAACAATTTGAAGACACTTAAAGTGATACATTGACAAATCCCATTTCGAGACTAAAGTCCATTCGGAATAATGTCCTTTGGGGCTAAAAATAGCATAACTTTAGAAATCCACAGAGCGTATGAAGTGTTGACATGCATTTTTTATATCTGCTATATTATCTCTTAAGAATAATACATAATGATAACATTTGGTAGCAACTATTTTTTTAGTTGAAAAATGATATGCCTCAGCTCATGATCATTCTTTACTACTGTGAAACATCAAATGCATTGTTTCCTCTAAATTGAAAGACACATTGTAATTGACACTTTAAGGATTCAGCTATATGGAACATGTTATTGGGCAAAAATAAATACATCCCTTACCTACAGCTGTGGGAACTGCTTGTTTTACACTAATCACTGGATATGACTATAACAATATTTAAATTGTGTAGAAGTTTAAAAAACTGTTACTTTACCTCTATTAGGTAATATAGATTAAGACCATGCCACAGACTGCCATAAAGTTATCAGTTTTATTTTTTGACAATTCTTCAGAAGATGATTTTGATTTTTATGAGTATTTTACCTTTTCAACTTTCAATTCAGTTGCTAGTGACTAATGGCATAGATATGCTGCTGAAAGACACAGAATTTTTTTTTTTAAAGGGAGAAAAAAGAATAAAAGAAAGTTATAATACTAATTCTTTTTTTAAAATTCAAATGCACCTAAAGGTACAAAAATATATGTGCTTTTCTTGTTATAAAACATACTAATATATTAACAAAAGGAAAGGAAACTCAAAATTAGAAAAAAGAATAATAATGTCATCCATTGTTTCCAGACTAATTTGCACTATTTTAGACTAAAATATTAATTTCTTTCATGTAAAGCATTAATTGTTAGTAATACAGAACTGCAGTTTGAGCTTTAGAAGTATATAATATAGTTTTTCTGAAGCTGAATTTTGGAATGATGCGTTTCCACAAATTTTATCAGGATTAAAAAGTTTAGTTTAAATTCTGAGAAATGAGATACACATAAAATGTAAATAAATAAACATAAACAAATAAACATACAAAATTATCTCCCACTTTTTTAAGAGACTGTGAACCTTAAACATTTAAGAAAGCTACGAGAATCAAATATTTCAGAGTTGTATTATAACTCACAGAAAACTTTAAAAAAAAAAAAAAAAAAAAAAATAATTGAACAGGGGGAAAAAAAAAAAAAAGTGTTACAAGAAGGAAATGCATAAGTTTTTCACATATAAAAGGGGAACATACAGAACTTTTTGTAAATAAAGCTCTTTTAATGGAATTATTCAGATGCCATAGAAATATTGTATCACATCACCATGAGAAGCAATCATGCCTAATTATCAAGAAGAATATATTAAAAATAAATTTCTGGTTTCTAGAAAAACATTTATAATACAATTTATTTCAACATTAAAAAAATAATAATTTATGAAGTAATTTCCAACCAAAACTTAAAAAGCCATGATAAATTTATATAAAGATGGTATACTAATGCAAATATTTCAGTTATCAAGATGTATATAATGCTAATCTTTATATGAAACTGAAGCCACAGACATAAATACTGGAAATGCTCAAACAAGGAAATGGGAAGGAACAAGAATACAAACACATTTATTTAAGAAGCTGCATGATACAACAAGCAAATATTATACACAACTGAGCTTTCAGTTATTTGAAATTCTAAAAATACTTTGGTTTAATTTTAAATATCACTACATTAAATTTCACAGAGCAACACTACATTATAACACTGTCCAACATAATTTACCAAACAATCATTCAAATTTGATGTTTTTATTAGAGTTTATATGGTCAACACATTTTTAACTTGGGAGTAATCAAAGAAATGACTAGGTTTAAAGAGTACTTTCAAAACCAGAAAATCAATAAGGTGGTAAGGCATCAATGGCAATATGATCCATTAAAAAAAAGACGAATTCATGAGCAATATGTCACATTATTTATGCTGTGTAACTAGGATGATTGATCACAGCATTCAAAACAAAAATTAACTTATATAAGAAGTAATTTGGAAATAATCGTGCTAACTAAAATATTTCCTAATGGCGAAAGTACGACACATTTGCTTAAATGTATTGAGAATTATTACCATACATCTTCTGCTTCAGTGTTCTGATGTTCTGCCTATTATATGGATCATTTACTGTAGTGCAAGTGTCATCTTATGTTTTTATAGATATTAAAAAAAGGGCATTAAGAAGAATACTAGGCAATTCTTTTCTGTACGTCTGATAGGTTGTGGATACAGAATTAATATTTTAATTTTGTATGCAAAGTTTCTAATGCATTTTAGAATTTACTGATATCTTCTGTTTTCAAAGTAGTCTGATAAGTAGATATATTAATATTTTTTAACATAAACTTTTCTAAATTTTTAAAAAATGAAAGTTTTTCTAATTGGAAAAGTTAGTTGGTTCTTCAAACAATAGAGATTTCAAGTAAATAAAACTCTTGATGCATTAGAAGTTATAAATAGCCCTGTTATGTAATCGAAAGTTGCTCTGAAAATTATGAACAGTTATCGAAGAAATGGAGTAAAAGTAATAAAATTGCTAAAGAAATCTTTGCTACTACATTAAAAAAGAAATCTCTGACAATTATAATGTAATATTTACAATAACATAATGTACTATTTACATTATAACTGTCAAATTTGTATAAATGTGAATTAAATTACCTGATATGTATGTATAGATAAATTATTATTTGCAGTCTGAATTTCAGAGTGAGGTTTATGTTCCTAGTGATGACATTGTTTTACATATCAGTAAAATAGTCCTTTATTCATCATTTAGCTGAATTAACAGAACCTATTTCAGAAAAGATGTCAACTGAGTGTAAACATTTTCACAGTGCCTGGAAATGGAAGTGCCAGGATCCAGTACCTGGAACTTTGTCTAAACTTATTTCAAGACAAATGGCAGAAGAAATTAATCTTAGAATCAGTAATGTAAATATCAATAACTGTAATGAATCTAAGCTTGTACCTAGTTAATTTAAAATTGCAGTAAAGGCAACAAAAGGAAATGACAGTTCCCACTTTGCTTTAAAAGATATTAAAAATGTTACAACTGTGCAGATTCTCAAATATGCAGAAACTGTAGATGCTAGATGCATTCTTAAAATCAAAATTTCAAATAAATATGACTATATCGATCTTGTTTCTAATAAAAAAAAGTTTGTGAGTTTTTTTTCTTTTTTTTTTTTTGGTGTGTGGGCGGAGAGGATGAGAAAATAGATACTAATAGAAAGAAGAACCCAGAAGATTCCTGAAGTTCTGATTTGTAGTTGTTTTAAAGTTTGTGATTCAGTTTCTTTCTCTTGATTATACTTCTCAGTATAATCAAGAGAAAGAAACTAAATCACAAA